TGTGTGTGTGTGTGTGTGTGTGTGTGTGTGTGTTGCAGCCTCACCGGTGTGCAGTACTCCACCATAGGGTAGTTGAGCTTGTGGCCCTTGGCGGTGCGCCCGGAGAAGAAGCAGCTCTGACAAATGTCGTAGTTGAAATGCTTCAGACTTCGATACCTGAAGGCAAGGAAACAGGAAGTGACACGTCAGGCGGTCTGGAGTGAAGTCTGGGGAGGAAATATTGATATGTGTATGTATATATATATTTATTTATTTTTGGTCCACATCCCTCAGTCCAGTCGTGGAGACACCTTGTGTTATACTTCTAGATTTAGTCTTGACACACAACACACACGTCCACTGGCGTTGTGGGGGACAGACAGTTGGACTCCACTGTCAGGAGTTTGTCTGAGAAAAGAAAAGCCTTTAACAGCTCCGTTGAGACGACAGCCTCTCAGACGTCACGGCTCACGTCCTTCATCTTCACCTCGTCGTCAGCGCTGTCGAAGTTAGCAGACTGAAGAGCTGGGAGGGAGACTCGTCTATCAGAGAACGCAGCCCAGCACACGGCACCACCTCAGTCTCATGCGTCATTACGTTCTGATGTGAGGCGTCGTCAGAGCCTCCGGTCTCCTACCAGAACGTCTAATGTTGTGGTTTCACCGTAGCTCCGGGCCAGACTTCCACACAGACGAGTCATTTTTAGACAAACAAATCCACGTAATTATAGCAAACGACACCGTTTATTCTCGTTATCACGTCGCATCAACAGTTGTTCGAAGCCCACGGCCTTTATGTTATTTATTCAAACACAGGAGGCAGAGACGCCGAGCCTTAAACCACTCCCTGCTCAATGACAAACCTAAAAAGTACTTGAAACTTCAATTCCACAAATGATCCTGAGAGATTAATTAAATACTCTAATAGGTGAAATGACATAATTAGAACGAGTGTCCATGACTTGCGGGAAAAATATGATTTATTTAAATGTGGCTCTGAAGTTTTCTGACTTTTCCTGTGGACTCTGGCACCAAACATCCCTCCACATTTGTCTTTTCTGGTTGATTAGTTAACGACGACTGCGATGACAAGAAGAAAACTTAATTACGCCGAAACTTCAGCTAGCCTAACGTCATCTTTTCATGACTGTTCAAAATGCCTGCTCTGCATTTTCCAGCGTCTTTCTTTGTCCTGCCATTTCCTCCCTCCCTTCGCTGCTCCAGCTCATCGATCAATGACAGAACCTGGGAGACGTGTGCTTCATCAAAAGTCTGAGTGTATTTCTCTCCGCTGGCCACCGGGGGATCTGAGGGAGACCATCCTGCCACCCAACTGCTCCAGAAAGACTAACTGTACAGTCAGCTCCAGTCCAACATGGCCGTTCAGTGTCTCTCATCTTCCTCGTTGCTGAGTCAGTGCCACGGTCATTTAAGACCTTACGTTTTTATTGAGTTTATTCTAATTAACTCTATTTTTTATTTTGAGTCTGAAGTATTTATACTTATCCTTTGTTAATTTATTCTACTTTATTCGTTATTTTTATTCAATTTTTTTCTGATTTCAGTCTATTTTATTTATTAGTTTATTAAGTTATTTATTTTTCCAGTCTAATTTGTTTTTATATTTTATTCTAATTTATTCATTATTTTACTCCATTTATTTTTTATAAAATTATTTATTTTTTCTAGTTCAGTTTATTCATTATTTTAGTCTCATTTATTTTTATAAATCCAATGTTTCTGAATCACAAGTTTCTACCATTTCATGTTTTTAAGTGTAGTCTGATAAAAATAACAATCCTTGAATCCTTGAACTTTGACATGAATATGTCGGGGTCATGGCCAGGGTCAGTTATCAGGTTTTGGTAAAACTGTAAAACTGAACGAGGAACACAGAAAACACACACAGTATAAGAGTGTGTGTGTGTGTGTGTGTGTGTGTGTGTGTGTCACTGCTGTGCTCAGTATCAGAGTGTGGTCTGTTACAGCCTGTTTGCTTCTTGTACTGACTGTTTGTATCTTTGCAGCTTTGTATGTGTGTCCATGTGTGTGTGTCCGTGTGTGTGCACTGCATTGAAAATCTCTGGATGGTATTTAGTCCGTGGTGTATCAGCTGCTGACATTTAGATAAATGTCTGCCCTCCAGAGCAAATCTGCCCTTTTTGCTCAACCAGAGGTAAACAATACAAAACAGTGGGAACATTTCTGGTGTGTGTGAGTGTGTGTGTGTCTGTGTGTGTGTCTGTGGTCTGGAACAATTCCACAAACGATGCTAAGTCAGCTAGCCTGTTGGTCTGTGTTTACCTGAAGCCAACTATGGGACACTCCTTGCAGATGTTGCACTTGGCCTGATGTTTGGCCGTCTCCGCAGCAGCCACGCGGTGCAGCACCGGGAGCCAAACCATGGACTGAGGCTCCAGACGCATCCAATCCACAAATTGCCGCGGCTCCAGCTCCACTTTATTGGTCACCTGATCATAAACAGAAATGGGACAAAAAGTTGGAAGCCACTCACCAGACACCGTAACTCTCAGCTTGTTACAGGAAATCTAATAAAGACGCACACAGATGGAAGATGACCACACAAATTAAAGAGACACGTCCACCCCCTGCAGGACGTTAAGGAGATGATTTGTGCCCACGGCTAAATAACCTTTACAGAGCTCTCACTCATTTTTTACTGGTGGAAATATTGTAACCATAAACAGTGATTTATTTGAACACTCCTGCTGCACCCTTGTACGTACTGCACATCTGTAGCCCTGCAGTTTGATCGCAGCTTCGCCGTTTCATGCCAGTTCTAACTTTAAGCACCAAAACTTTTTTTAACAACTGCTCCAAAGTTCTCCTGGTAACGATCGAACGGCCCGTGCATGCACGGAATTTTCAATATTTTAGAAAAAAAAACAAAACTGAAGAGCGCACAAGTCGGTCGCTGATTATAATGACAGCATTTTTAAAAGCGTACACACGGGTAGAAGAAATCAACGACAAGTGCTTCATCAAATATGAAAGAGCAGCAGGAAGAGCAAAAACGCTGAGAGCACATAGAGACGAGCAGTGATCAAGGTTGATGCTGTGTTCATGTGACCTCTGTGCAGCAGTCAGTGGACGNNCGACACCCCCCCCCCCCCCCCATCAGGTCCCAAGGTTTACTACAGGCCGTTTCAGCCATTAGCTCAGTTTCATTAGCATATCTATTAGTACATCTAACATTTAACCTGATCTAAAGATTGAACCAGAAACTGAGGTTTATTTAGTTTTTATCTTTTTAGGAAAGTAACATTCAGCAGTTCAGTCTCTGAACCAAATGTTTGAACCAAATATATTTTACAAAGTGTTTAAATAAGTTTCACAGAGGAATTAAATATTTATTATTTGAGGTAAGTAAAGAGCCAGTGTTTTTTTTTCTGAGAAAAGTGCTTCAATGTGAGCTTACGTTTGTCTGCACTTTCACCACAAAATTAAAGTGAGTTCTTGGGCCTAAAATATGGATTTTTGAGTCAAATACAATAAAATAACGGCGAGTAATGGAGCTGCTGAGGACAACTGACAACTTCCACCCTGCAGGGATTTAAATTCATCTCCACATCTCTAACCTTTCAATTCAACCTCTCTTAACAAAATCACAATATCACGTTCCCTGGAACTGAGGCCGTCTCATCGTTTGCCTCCTTTCTGCTCATTTGTATCACAGCAGTTACAGATTAATTGACACTGGAGGAAAAAAAACAAAAAATCGAAAGGACGTATTTATAAGAACGACTGGAGGAGCGTCATATTTATCAGCAGTTCGACCTGTTCATCACAGGCCCCATTAAAACAAATGGACTGAGTGACTACACTGACACTGGCAGGGCACAGGGAACACAGATGGAGAATGTGTGTGTGTGTGTGTGTGTGTGTGTGTGTGAGGGGTGGGATGAGGGGGAGGGCTTTCTACCTGTCAAATAAATTTGATGATTAAATGATTAACGAGCGGCTGGACTGATGAGTTTTATTGGGGATGAATGAGTAATGATACGATGACCGAGCAACAATTTCAACCTTTTGAATAACCATTAGTTATGGTACATGTTAGATAGCATTTAGATGCTAATAAAGGCGGAATCAGTTTCATTTATGTGGAGATAAAAGACAAGAATGCTGGAAATAAACTACAGTAATAAAGTCCAGATATAAAAATCTGAATTTGACCTCACGGTGGCTGGCATTAGCATTTTCACTAATGTCGACTGTAGGAGTGGTATTTACGCATATTAAAAGGCATTACTGTGTCATTAAGAAAGTGAAATGAAGCCAGAGCAACACGCAGTTTGGCCTTTTGCATTATTTTCAGCAGCGGGGCGGGGGTGCGGGGGGACACACAGTTTGAGAACGCCTTTCTGCTATTTTTGGAGCAGCGGTGGAAGCAGCAACGTGAAATCGGGGAAATTTACAGCTTCCTAATTTTAACGTTTGGCATTTATGGCTGCGGAAGCACGAGTCGAGGGGGAAAAGGAGAGGTGAAAAAAAACGAAACAGTGATCCCGGAGGGTGAAGATATCATTAAACGCCAGTAGCTTCTCCAGATAAACCCGGTAAAAGTGGTGAGCTGGACGCAGTAAAACACCGCAGCACGGGCAGCACAGGCCCCCGGGCCACGGAGGGTTTCAGACTGGTCAGCACCGCTTCAATATTAAATCACTTTCACCAGCCTGACGGTGGCCAGTGGTCGATGGCTGCGGAACAGCAGAGGAGAGGGAGGTGTTTAATCCCCATTACATTTGGGGAGAAGGCATTTTATGGCACTGATTAGTTTCCAAAGTGATGGTCCGTATGGTGACAATTCAAACCGGGCTGTTCTGGCCCGAGGGCAGTCGCTGCAGCACTTTGGTTTTCTACAGGCTTTCAACTGACAGTCGGTGTGTGTAACCAGTCTTAGTCACATTAACTCACCCGTGGATGTGGGCGTGCAGTAAATATGGAATCTATTTTTAATATCGGTGATAAAGTATGTACTGCAGGTCTAACAATGAGCTCCAGCATCCAGAATAAAACACTCTTCTAGACCTGTTCTCTTCAAGAACCTGAGAGTCAGTCATCTGGGAACCAGGAAGTGCAACAATTAGTGATTTTTTTTTTTTTTTGAACATTTGTACATTTTTTCAAATTATGTTCCAAATCCAATTAATCTATAAAACACATTTCCACATAGAGCTGAGCCAAAGTGCGAGACAATAATTGAAGACTGAATCCTGTGGTGATAATAAATTAGTCTGGGCCTTTAGCTTACATTTAAAGCTGCCTGGGAATCTGAATGGCCTCGTGGAGCAGCAGTCCGAGCTGCCGCTGGTCACAGGTGTCGCCCGATGAAGCCACCTGGCTGAAAAGATCTGAGAGAAGAAGAAGAAAAAAAAACAAACAGATGAAGGAAAAGGGGAAAAAAAGCGAGAAATTCAAACCTTTTTTCAGAAAGTTCATTTGTTCTTTTTTGACCCTTGGTCAAGTCTGGTAACAAACTACAGATTTCAGTTCTTTTTTTGGAAAGGTTAGGGTTAGGGTTAGGGTTAGGACCAGAGTTAGGGTTGGGGTTGGGGTTGGGGTTAGGGTTGGGGTTAGGGTTAGGGCAGGACTAGGGTTGGGGTTAGGGTTAGAATTAGGGTTGGGGGCTCAAATGGAAAGATGCATTTTTAATATTTCTTTCTCCCTTCCTACACACGAGGCTCTTTCTTATAGCCCTCTTATCTCAGTCCCTGTATTTTAAGCACGTCGTCATAAAGACTGAAGCTGGTGACCTTTTTTTTTTTTCTCTCAGTAGAAGTTAGGCAATATTTCCAGAGCTCAGGCACCGACTGAGCAGAGAAGCAGAGGGAGAAGAGGAGGGTAATGAAGAGCAAAAGGGAAGGCAGGGGGAGAACTTTGGGCACGACAGGTCTTCGATTGACTTTGATCCTTGTGTGAGGCCTGGAGTGTGTATGTGTGTGTGTGTGTACGTGTGTTCAGGAACCTGTGTTCCTTCATATGAACTTCACAGAATCTGACTGATCAAATCCCTCATCTCCACATCTGCACTTTCTCCTCCAAGATCTCATTTAAAAAAAAAGAAAATGGCAACATGCCTGGTTAGATGCACGTGTGTGTGTGTGTGTGTATTCATACACATAAGTCTCCCAGGCATTGAGACTTTAAAGCAGTAGTAGGAGGATGGAGGGTGCAGTCAGTCAGGCATACTTGATACCCTTTTCAGCCTAATAGAAATTGCCAGTGGAAGCACAAAAAGCTTAGTGATGGAGTCCATGACGTGGCCACGGCCGAGAGGAAGAGGGGGGAGGAAGGAGAAGAATGGAGAGGCAGTGGGTAAGACAAGACGTGAGACAAAGCAGCACTGTTAGATGGATGAACAAGTGTGGCAGCAGAGACAGCAGAGGAAGAAAGAGAGACAGAGGGGGGAGGAAGGGGGAGGCAGCTAAAACCAAATGAGTTCCTCCCAGAGCTGTGAGCCTACAGTCATGCTGCCTAATCCTCCAAAATAAATCAGAATAGAAAATTAAATAAAAAACAAGGGAAATGCGTAGGAGGTCTCTCATCCAATTAGACGAGCCGTTCTCTCCAGCTCTGCTCACTGAGAGACTGATTAATGCCACTGGGATTTTCAGATACGCTGGAGCCGTGTGGGACGGACCGACTGCTGACCGGCCTGCACTGGCAGGAGCAAGAGGAAGTGGACGAAGAGGATGAGGAGATGTTTCCTCCCACAGATCCCTCACCTACTCACTGGCACTTACATTTGTATTTCTCCTCCAGGTGTCCCTTAGAGAGGGACAGTAGTCCGATCTTCATGGACAGGACACGGATCTTCCCACTGCGGCCGCTGCAGACACCACGACACAGATAGAAACAGAAGTTATTATTAGTTATTTGAACCAAACAGATAGATTTTAGCTTCTATCCAGACATCAGAAGTGGCAGACAAGTCTAAGGTGAAAGGTCAGGATTATAGGACAGTAGTGAGACCTGCTGTAATGTATGGTTTAGAGACAGGGACAGATCAGAGAAGAGGAAGACCTCCGAGGACATTTTAGAATGTCCTCTGAGAGCACATGGAGTAAAAACAGAGGAGTCGGGGTCTGAGGTGAGGCAGACGATCTGCTGTGTCGACCCCTGAAGGGAACAGCTGATTGAAGCAGAAGATCCCGACGGTTTGATTCATTTAATTTTTAATGCTACATCATGGCACTTGTCAGAGCTGTGGGCAACTTCAGGAAACAACCGCAGCTAAATTAAGCAGAGGAAATTTAAAAATAAAATTCACTTGCTTTAATGGAACACTTCCTTAACTGGATTGATTCATATTTTAAGTGTGAAATTACCCTGCAGACAGCTTTATGGAAATTAACCAATCTTTGACTGAACGTCTTCCAATACCTTTTCTCTGATAAAAGACAAGAACAGACGCCTGCAGAAAATATCAAATCCAAAATGACTTTATCTCAAATTCAACCTTTTCTTTTTTTCAGGGAGTTTAAATTAATTAGAGTCAAGGTTTGTTAATTCCCCGTTTTCTATTAACTTCAGTTGATTCAGGCGTTTCCTGAAGAGCAAACGTAAATGGTCCGACATTGATTTCCAGTTTCAGGGATTTGGATAAAACTCCAGACAAGCAGTAATTCAAGAAAAATGGTGCTGGGAAACTGAAAAAGGTTAAAAAGTTGAGGTGTTGGATTCAAAAACAATTGTTGGTACGCAGAAAAGGTCAAATGTTGAGATTTTAAAAAATGTTTAAATTTAAAGAGGGACTAATGACAGGTTAAAGTCAAGTTTATGAGAAAAGGAAAAACAACCAAAGGTCTGATCTTTGGAAGGAAGGACACTTCAAGGTCAGACAACTCTGTGTTTAAAAGATTTACAGTTGAAATGTGTGATTTTTGGAAAGTTTATTTTCCATTTCAGTTACTGACTTGACTTCAGTTACACCTCGTGTGGCCAACAGTTAAATGACTTGTATGCATGGCAGCTCACCGCGCATACACTCAGCGTGTGTGTGTGTGTGTGTGTGTGTGTGTGTGTGTACACCGTACTATTCCCACATAAACACAGCACCTAACAGCAGTTTTCATGCCACCCGGGCTCTGTTTCTGCTGCAGACACCGTGTTGACAGAATTTGCATGAATGTAAAAATCTGCAGCACCGTGGCCGCTGTGCACCAACAGCAGCCACAGATTATTCAGATCAGCCGGTGCATACGTACGTGTCGTAAACGTTGAGCAGCCAGTTGAGAGACATGTCGACACACAGCGGGACGTTGACCAGGTCCTTGTGCTCCTGCTCCAGGCCGTCGTAGATGGACGTCAGGCAGTTGATGACGTCAGAAACGGACAGCAGCTGTTGGTTGTTGGTCAGTTTGTGCTGCTCAAAAGTGTTCTGTGCCACGTGGAGGTCCAACAGGTCCACTGTGGACAAACAGGACAGGAGACAGAAGAGCCGTTAAAAGGGGTTAATCTGATTAATTTTACAAATGAATGATATAAATAAATAACAAAGTTAGTCTTAATTTTGACATAGAGTTTTCTGTGAGAAAATATGTTATGAATAAATGTCTCAGTTAATCCGTTTTCCAACTGATTCTACACACTTTTACTTATTGTAAGTATCTTGAGAGTACGGAAAGAAACAACAGGGATAAGTTAACAACAACAGACTAATCAAGTCCCTGAGGAACACCTCATTAAACACAACAACCTTCTGCATAAACAGACCCAAAACACTGGGGGAAGGAAAAAAACAAAGAAAAGCCAAAAAAAAAAATTTGACAAAAACTAAATTCAGGAGTAATGAGTTTCTTTTATCAGCTTCTGCTAAAGCGCTGCAGTGCTACGACCCCCACCTGCCACTAGAGGGTTTGATACCACTGAGCTAAGGGTCATGCTGAAATCAATTTTTTCATCTATGAAGCTACGATGATCAGAAGTCCAGTGTTATGACAACGGAGGATCAGAGTCCTGACTGGACTGTTGATCAGTGTTTCAGGTCGGTGTCCTCTGACCCTGATGTGTCTCAAACTCCGGCTCCACAAATTCACAGACCCAGTGTTAATCCAACTGTGAAGAGGTTCATGACGACGACGCTTTTATTTCTGGTCATTTTTCTGTTTCTGTTGATGATGAAACAGTGTTTGATACAGAAACCGTTTCCGTGACACTCAGGGATTGCGCTGCATATTTTTACCAACTCTCCTCTGAAGACTCACCTCCTCCCTGCAGCTGCCTGTCTCATACGTGAACTCCGTGTTCCCACAGACTGAACTTATTTACTAACTGAACTTATTATTAACTTTTTATTTCTCCCCTTCATCACACATGCAGATATGGAGCTCAGACATGAACATCATTTTTGTCGCTCCAACCCACGAACACACACTTAACCCAATTAGACACATCATGGAGTCAAAGTTGTTGAGTCTGGGCATGTGTGTGTGTGTGTGTGTGTACTTGTGTGTGTCCCGCTCCTTCAGCAAGGATTCCAATCCAGGCTAATAACTAACAACTATAAATCTTTATTTGCTTTTTTGAGATACACACACACACATACACACACACCCACTACAGAACAGCTTTGGGACTGCTATAATCTAATGGATGAAATTAAACTGCACTGCCATGAGTCCAAATCACTCAGCCTAATGTGTTCCCTTTAAAACACACACAACCCGAGAGGCCATGAGGAAAAAAAACTGAACTGAACTAAAAACACATCGAACCACGAACGATGGTCCAGCAGAGTCACTTCATCGGACAGAACTACTGCGCCTCGTTGGTGACAAACGGCTGAATGTAAATGAGCTGTGAGTCTGATGTGAGCGTGAGCTGCTGTAACAGGTCAACGGCTGAATAATGGTTAACATTTGTTAGCATCATTACACTGCGCTGCCCCCGAGTGGCTGCTGCCGCGGTGGCACGAACCTCCCAGGAAGGCTAGTGTTTACACACCTGCTGTGTGTGTGTGTGTGTGTGTTTGTGTTTGTGTGTTTGTGTTGGAGCACGAAAAAGAAAATGAGGCCACCTGAGACTAGAGGAAATAGCTGCCTTCATCATCGGGACATCAATTATAAACAGGGGAAACAGCAGCTCTTGTGTTCAAAGGTAGAAAAAAAAAAAGAAAAAGAAAATGAATGAAAATGAAATGAAAAATTCACACCTGTGCACAATCACTCACTGAGGCTGCGCTCAACAGGCTAAAACACACGCGCCAGCTGCAGCTGTGTGTGCAAACAAACACACACTGTCAGAAGTTTGAAGCCAAAACACGTCCGACCGCCTGAGCTGCTCTGGCATGAAATCCTGGAGAAGGATTCCAAAACTTCAAAAGGACTGAACCACGACAGAGGCTCGAAGGTAGTGGCAGTAAAAAGGTGTGTGTGTGTGTGTGTGTGTGTACTGTTATTGGACATGCTAAATGTGACAGTGTGTGGGATCTGTGTATTGACGGTTGTTAATACGGTCAGTCGTCAGCAGGATGTTTTTCTTATTGGCTCTAAATGCTGAAAATATCAATACAAGACAAATGCAACATGAACCGTGTCCTAATAAAACCAAGATTTTTTGTGCAGTGAAACAGAATATAATAAATGTGGAGAAGCCGTGGAAATAAGTGAATGACTTTGAAAATCGAGGAGCAGTGATTGGACAAATGTAACAGGGCTGTGAAAACACACAACTGTTTTTTAACTGATGAGTTTTAAAAACAAAAAAAAAATGTAATTAAAATGAATGGTTAATGTTGCGCTGCACTGTTAATTCAATTTTCTTTGAGGGCATGAGTCATGACTTGATGATTCAGAAAACGCAGCCTCATTTCCTCAGTGTGTAACTTACGACACAAGGCCTTCTGTAGTCGGCGGATCTTCATGGCCGTTCTGTACGCCGAGAATCTCACGTTGTTGAGGTCGCCTAAACAGTCGGAGAAAACAAACCGAACGTTGACATCGAATCAGCAAACAACACAAAACAAACAGGACCTTGTGTTTTCTGCAAAACTAGTCTTTCTGTTGGAGACCACGTCCACGGAGATAGCAGTGAGGGTGAGGAGGGGGCGCTGCTGCTAATGGGAAGTGTGCGTTGGAGTCGGTCGGCGTGTTCTCAGTGGGCTTGTTGAGTGTTTGTTGTGCTGCGGGCGATGGTAAACGCTCCCAAAGTTTCACTGCTTATTACTTATCCAGCAGCGTATTAAAGAGCAGCCACACAGGTCACTCCAGAGGGAGACACGCACACTCCCACTGTTATCAGCAGGGGGCAGGAGACTGCATTTTAAAACGCCTCATTTGTTTTGTCAAGAATCACTTCAATAAGGTGAAAAGAAGTTGAAGGGGAAATCTTTATTTTCTACTGTGCTGTGGAGAAATTCTAAAAACAGTTGATCATATAAATATGACATGAGCCACTTAGTTTGTTTGTGTGTCTGGGCCCATTGACAGGTAACATTCAACTTCTGTTACTCCCTATTAGCAACTTCTTGATTGGCCTTCCTTTTTTTTCAGAAATGTTGTTCAACTTCAAATTATGTTTTTATTATTTTCATAAATGTTATTTATGATTAAATAAAAAAATATTCACATAAAAAAAACTTACAAAGTTCAGGTCTGTACAGTAGAGTCTTACCTAGTGACTGGTAAAGTTCTGTCATCTTTGGATGGTCCCAGCAGGTCGTCTGGGTCTGGTGACTGAAAAACCAAACCACCAAGTACAACATCAGTCTCTACATGTACTGCAGTAGTACTGTGTACACACAAACATGAAGAAGTATTTCAAAAAACAGATGTAATCAAAAAGTGGAATATTCCCACTCTTCAGCGGGAAAACTTGACACACACACACACACACACACACGTGAAATGTCAACCTAGTGAATTGACTAAAGACGGCGTCACATAAATAAATCACATCGGAGCTGAGGGGGGATCAAACATGAAAGTCTTGGCACAAAAAGCAGCTGCCAATCAAAATCAGGCGGTGATGCGCCTCCCAGTGGGGATTTTAGGAAGACACCTGGCTGTCAGAGGCTGTGATCAGTGTATTATGTTCGGAATATTTCTTAAAAAAAAAAAAAAAACTTCATTGGCTCCCCTGTGGTTCCTGACGGCTCCAACTGAAGCTGTCAGGAAACAGGAAGTAACCAGACGAGGGCTGACGTCAGCAGCCTGACGTGGCGACCCTGTTCACACCAACACAGGCACAGCTGGTACCTGGACGTTCATGTCCTGAGAACACAGCGAACACATGGTATATGTGGTAGATTTGTCAGAGGGCTGGAACATGTCTAGGGGGCTGGACACTAAAATAAAATGAAACAAATCACATTTTTGAGCAAATTCATTTAGAACTAGATGGAGGAATGTTCTATCTCTAACTTATTGACAGTTACTGCCTTGTTAAATTCAAATACAAAAACAAGACACAGAGTCAACTTTTACATCATCGAGCCGCCGTGCTGTACAGGGTCTGTGTCTGTGTCTGTGTCTGTGTGAACAACAGACGGCAGACAGAAGATCAGACTGATCCAGGTCGTCGTGCCTGGATCAACAGCTCATGAAATCCATAATGAGGTGGCGTGACTTATCAATTCAACTCCCGCCTTCATCTCTTTTACTTTGAAGCAGCTCAGAGATCCTTTTGTTGTCCTTAAAAAAAAACCTAATGTCACATTTACTATGTCACTACAGTTCAGCTAAGACGATGGGAAATTTTATAGGCGGGCGCAGAAGCATCGGGGAACATTAAAGCAGGAGAGGGAGAACGGAGGAAAAAAAAAAACCCACGCATGGTGAACCCCGACAGAATGTTGGGAATTTTAAATATGGCCTGTTTTCACATCTTGACACTTTATTCGTGCTCCCACTGGCTTTTATTACCGCGCTGATTTATATCAGCCAGAGCGACTCTAGTAAAACATCAGAAGTTGAAGCTTCGATGTGATGCAAATAGTCTGACAAACGCCTCAACTTCTGCTTTAGAATTTCACTACATAAATAAAACAAATTCCGGCATTCATATTAATATGACTTGCCACTTTTGTTTTCATTGTGTATCTTCCAAAATATGAGATAATGTTCCATCGTAAAAACAGAAATAAGGGAGTCAAAGGTCTAACTGTGACTGATAATGGCTGGAAAAGGTTCACGTTCTTCTGAATAAACATCCTTTAAATTAAAGTCCCGTTTCTTTACTATCTGTTCACCACAGTGATGTTACTGTCATGTTCTGTCCTTCTGTGTCACAGCTTTTCTACTCCAGGCTTCATCCTTCTGTTTTCTGTCTATTACAGACAATACGGTCCATGATCAGATGTGGTGTTAGGTCTGGTCTCTGACACTTTGCTAATGATCCATTAATCCATTCAATAATTTGAAGTTGTTACAGCAGAGTGACAGGAACTCAGAGCTGAATTTGTATCTAAATATCTGGGTCCACGATGATCTGCCTCTGGATTTTTAGAGAGACTGCAGTGGTAAAAACAAAAAAAAAAAACAACTCATTCTGATATGGTCACCATAATAAAAACCTTCTGCTGCCAAGTCAACATTAAAAAATAGCATTTCTGAGACATAATGAACAAATACAAAAAGGGGAAACAAAATTAGTGGAATTAAAACTGCACAGCACAGGGTGTCAGACTGACCTTCCATTTAATCAGCCAACACTAACTACTGTGTTTGAAGTCAATAATAATCAACATTATTTCAACGGACATTTTCTGTGTAGAAGCAGCATTTCCACCTTGAAAAAAAAATGGGTTAGAAACGATTTTCTAATTAATTTTTTCCAGTGTGGACAAAACCTCCGTTAATTCCAATAATAATAAGTCTTCTCGGACTCATCCTGGTGGAATCTCCTCCATCCCTGGGCAAGGAGTGAATTTACTCCATATCCGTTTGGCTGTGACCCAGGCTACACTTCCACACAACACTTCTCTGGGCTGCTGGGAGTTTGTCACTGTCAGAGACTCAACCACAGCCAGGAATAATAATGAGCGTGCAGATGAATGATCACTGACATGTCTGCATCTCCAAAGAGACCAAAAATAAAACTATTTAAGGATCTGTTCTTCCCTCCCTCACAGACACCTGTCAGACTCCGATGACGGCTCGTAAGTGGCTGCATTTACCACTCCACCTCAGTCTCTGCTCTTCTGCCTTTGACATTCTCTGCTCTTGAATGAAATTGGACTCTCTCCTACCATTGACATCAGTCTCCTGCTCTGCTATTTTCTTGGAACAGTTCCTGGATTATGTTCACAACTTTTCAAAGCGGATACGACGGGGGAGGCAAGACACTGTATGTGATAAGGAAATATGTCAGAAGATTGTTTCACGAAGGAAACACAGGCGTCGCAAAAGGAGGTTTCTGATCTCTGCAGTTTTTTTTTTTTAGTTTTTTTTTTCATTCAAAACCCCCTGAGACTTGCCCAAGTTTCAAACTGGTGAAATGGTAGAGCAGGAAAGGCGGCTGCATTACAATGTGGGTTTCATCATTTGATTTTTTTTTTTTCCAATATGCTGCTCATTGAAGGTTCAGTTTTAATCAGAGGCTCTTTTGTCAGTCAGAAGAAAAGAGAGTGAACAGGACAGGAGATGGAAACGGCAGATGAGGAGGAGACGGTGGAAATGGATGTGTCACCCACCGACGCCGATGTTCCCAAAACGTCACCGCGCTGAATGCAACCTGTGATTAAACATGAATTTAGAAGGTTCCCTTTTGTCAAAGTGCAAATGGAGTGGGTTTTGTGTATTTTTATGTGAACATTTTAATTAAAGGCCAGACACCGTTAAAAAATAATAGTTTTTCAGTTTCTGAGAGTGAACATTGATAAAGTGAAAAAAAAGACTTGATCCAGCGTCAAAACTAAACTCTTTCTTTCATCCTTTTTAAAAGACAGGACTATTGACGATTGACAATGTGCCGTTAGAGATCGTCAGGCGTACACTAGACCAACCAAAAATATTATTGTTTTGTTGAAAAAAAGTATTTTTTGACAATGCAGTAAAAGGTAAAAAAAACTTCTTTTTGAGCTGTTGAAAATCTTTGTGTCTATTTTCAGTTTTTTTAAAGTATATCATTGTTGTGTTGAAGTGAGTAAAACTAGAATATCATTGTATTTCATTATATTCAATAAAAATCTACATTATTGATTTAAATTTCCACTTAACTTTATGTAGGATATTGTAATTCCTACAAAACTGCAATTCTTATGTAGGACATTGTAATTCCTACAAAACTGCAATTTTGTTTGAAGAAAGAGAATATTTAAGGAAGGATGTCAGAGTCAGTCGTCCATGTCCATGAGCCCGGGGCCTCATTAACATTCTCTCTAGTCTTACTGTCTGCTACAAAAATGTCAGTTTAGATCAAATATCCGGATGTTTTCACTTAAATATTGATCAGAGGTCATGCCATTCTTTGGAGAGGAAGAAAAAACCCTGAGGTCAGATGTAGTTCACTGAGTCAGAAATCAGAATGAAGCTTCAAAATGTAGCAACGGGCCCCACTGAAGCAGCACATCCATTAATGATACTGCAGCTACAGCATGTTGTGACATCTGAAGGTTTCATCCTCGGCTGTTCTTTCACTATGAATCAGCCTTTGAGCTGTTTATATAAAATAACTTCACATGCCGACGAAGAGTAACATGATATTAAACCACTGATGTTCATCATTCAAACACAGGAGGCTGAGAAGAGAGAACGGCTGAGCCAAATCCAGGGAAAAGGAAGTTAGTCTGACAAAGTAGAAGAGAACTACTGTGCCCAAAGTTCTTCACTAAACACTAGAGCCAGCTCAGGTTTGGTTAGTCAGCAGTTCACCGATGCGAGTTGCATGATTTTTGGATAATGAGGTCCTTAAAATTTAGAAGACTGACACCTCCAGAGGAGCAGGGGAGCTGTGTGAGTCTCTAACAACCAGCACATCTTCTCACAGACGCTGGGAATCAACTCCTGCTGCTTGACCTGATTCAGCAAAACCGGAGTGGGGAACTAACGTGTCCAGTTGGAGTTGTAGTAATGAGTATTAAAACAATGTTCGTACCGTATTCAGACACACATATACGAACAGGAAGATGTACATATCAGCCGGAGTGTGTAGGAGGAAATGATCACGTGTTTCTTGAACATAAGCTGAGGATCAGTCCATATATAAATGTGTGGAGACAGGAGGATGGTGTAATAAAGTCTTCTGATTTCAGCAAATGACTAATTATATCTCTTAACAGTGTTAATGAAATAAACTCTAGGTCCAGGAAGAGTTTTTTTTATATATATATAGTTATAAATAAGGAGCTTGGAGAAGGTCAGAAACTATTACGAGAGGATTTCTGTTTTTTTATAGTTATAAATAACAAGCTCGGAGAAGGTCAGAAACTATTACGAGAGGTTGGGAGGTAATTGCTGAGGTGAAATAAACAGGGAGGTGGGGGGGGGGCAGCTCTAAATCTGTTATCAAAATTCAGTTCAATACCTTCATTTTTTTTTTAACTAACTGTTTTCCCTTTTCCTCCCTCACGTACAATTCAGATTTCGACCTCCTCTGACCTCTGAAAAGTCTGGTTAATGTAACGTAAAATGACTCTTTAAATAAGGGGAAAAGAAGAAAACACACATGATGTCACGGTTGGTAATTAAAGGTCAAACACAGACAGGACATGGTAAAAGGTAAGAAAAATATATAACACATTTCCTGACGTCCCCAAGTGTCTGATACAGACCCAGGACTGTCACCGTAGTTTATAAAGAGAGACGAGAGCAGGGGAAGTAAAATCAGCACCACGGTCAGCTCCAGTACTAGTGCACATCTTACAGTATAGAACATCTTACATGTACAGTCGAAGACGTTCAAACTAACACCAACACAGGCTGGAAGACGTTCAAACTAACACCAACACAGAGGTTCAACCACAGGTTACACAGCTGGGCATGGGTGCAATAAAAAAGCAGTGCTGAGCAGAGTAGGATGAAGCACAACCGACGGGACAAAGTTGTTAAACCAACTACTTTTTTACTCCAATAACCTTCCAGTCCCTGCATCATCCACACAACCACAGCTTACAGGAGCAGAAAGTGCTGCTCGGGCCAGTTCTCGTCACTTACTTGATATAATAGGGAACCTTGTTCTGGGAAACGGCTCGTTGCCAGGGGAGTTGGACAGAAGCTAAAAATGGAGGAGAGAAAAAAAAGAAAAGTGAAAACATTGTTCTCCGAAAAAAACATTTCTACGTCATGAAAAAAGATGTTGGCTACTGATACGATTCCTGTGGATAAGAAATAAAAAAGTTCAGAGGAGGGAAGGCTCTAAATATAGACATGTTGACAGAGATCTATGTAAATCTTTGAGGCGTTCATCCTCCAGGTGGACAATAAACAGTGTCAGACCCATTTTTTACAAACGACCTGCTGATGATGTGTTGGGCTGATCTAAAGCCAAGGATGTTTTCAAAAACAATACAAAGTGGAATCACTGATTTATCTCCCCTCCATTTCCCCTCCTCTTTGACACGGCTCCACGCTCATCTATAGAGATGAGAAGACAGCGGCAGAAAGATTAGGCGGGATCGGAAGGTATACGAGACGGATAGGCGGAGATAAGAGTCGGAACGCTTTATTGAACCCTGAGGGAATATTAAGCCACTGGTGTAATGAGAGTGAATGTGTGATGGAGCAGATAGTGTCACGGAGGCCCAGGGAAAATGAAAGACGGGACAGAGCCTTGTTTTGTCTGACGCGGGTGCAGAGAACCCAGCGGGGCCTGACTGGGTTAAATCCATGTCCACTGGTGCCACAGCAGGGCAGCAGAGCCGACCAGCTGGTCAGGGCATCACGCTGGGCTATTTTATCTCCCCGCCCTGACAGCCAGCAAAACAAATCAGAGGGAGGCAAGGAATAATAATGGTTGTATCGGTAAGAGGAGCGGGCGAGCGAGAGAGGGAGAGAGAGCATTGCTTTGTTTAATGCTCACACTCCTACATTTGTCTTTTCTCTCGATCTTTGTGTCCAATTGTCTCTGTTCCTCTTTCTCCGCTAATGACCACTCTAAAGAGCGAGACAGAGCGCAGAGTCAATGGAGAGCTGTAATTAAGCCCTGCATTATTCAGCAGCAAAGCGCTTCGTCTGCAGACTGCGTCCGCGGGCATTTTTACCAAACGTGCGCCACGGTGAAGCCCGGGGCCAGAGATGAGGAGATGAGACACGATGACATTATTGGATGAGATACTGCGTTATTGAGTAGAAAGTGAAACGCTAACTCTTCGTCCGTCTCACAAATGTTCCCAGAGAGAAGTAATTGGCTGTGCACTCACTGGAGAGGAAATGCTGGGAGGAGGGGCCGAAGTCTCTGTGGGCCTCCTGGAGGAGCTTCAGACGGTCGTCGACCGCCACCTGTGTCACAAACAGACGGGAAGAAGAAAATCAGCTGGAAGATCCATGACTGTGCAGTTCGGTTGTTGGTGGAATTGCTCAATAATTCACACTCATGGAAATAAAGTTTTGCCTGTGGCATAGATGAGGCCTCGTTCTAAATTATGCATTAAAAACTAACCCAATTTACAGAAAGTTTGTACACTGACTAAGCATGTGTTTTGAAGCAGAATAGTTTATTTGCTGCTGGGCTTTAAATGTTAATAATGAGGAAAGTTTGACATTTCTGTGGGAAAAAAACAAAACATATTATTGTTGTTATTTTTATTATGACCATCTGAACACCCTATTTAATCAACTTATCACATTTTACAAACCACTGCCAAGATGCATCGTTAGGACCAAAATCCACCATCTCTATGAAGCCAAATTTTTTTTTATATTATCTTAAGACAGATTAATTAGGATGACAATTAATCATGGTTTTTATTTTATATTATCTTAAAATAGATTAATTAGGATGACAATTAATCATGAGAGTGAAATAATCCACTGCTACTGTTACTGTTATACAGACCAGTTGGGTTGGGCTGAGAGAAGCTCAAGAAAATGCTCTGTCCACAAAGAAATATTATTTTCTATTACTGACCAGTTTAACATTACAACAGGAAAGAATCCCCCCCCCCACCCCCCCCCCCCACACCACACCCCCCTCCGCAGCACA